AGAGGGACTAGGAGGCCTATTTTAGAAAGGCTAGGAGGTCTATTTTAGAGGGGCTAGGAGGCCTATTTTAGACTACCTGGAGGTTATTCCGGGGATCAACGCCCCCGCGGCCCGGTCCATGACCAGGCCTCCCGATGGATCAGGGCCTGATCAACTAGGCTGTTACTGCTGGCCGCACGCTGTCCAACGTACGAGCCACAGACTAGGCCTATTTTAGAGCTAGGAAGCCTATTTTGGGAGGCTAGACCTATTTTTGGAAAGGCTAGGAGGCCTATTTTGGGAGGCTAGGAGGCCTATTTGGAGGGGCTAATTTATGCATTACAGAAGACAAATTTTAAAAGTAAAAAATCGTGCAAGAAACGTCAAATTATGACAGGAAAGCTCTAAATCCGTAGGGATTACACGGAACCTGTAAAGGGGGGGGGTAGGTGTAAATCAATCAGGCTTAATTCATGTAATTAGAACCCAGATCCAATTCCCTGGATGAAGATCCCCCCGTCACCAGCACAGAAACATCAACATGAGCGTTATAATGGAAATAAAGCGCTAAACCTACCAGGGTCAGAGAAGCGTCAACAGTGTGGGTTGTCCGCTGACTTCACTTTCTTATTTCGCTCGTCACACTTCCTTCTCTGGTCGTATCTTCCTTATCTTGACTCAGCAGCATCCACAACTACTATTTAAACTTCGAGTATATTCGGAATAACGGTGTCCTTTACGAAATATACGAAAAACGTCGTTAAAATGAGAGACGGAAGACACGTGGGGCCAGTGTGTGGAGTCTCGTTATTTCTCGTTAATTCTCGCCAACTGCCTGCGAGATCTTCTAAAAACTTATTTTTCCTTATTATTTACGTAATATGGGTATATTTCCTGCTAATAATAATAATAACTCGTCAGAAGATCAAAAGTCACCCATTAATTGTTAGTACACTAGAAAAATAAGGATTCTAACTGCAACCAGTCACTGATTTTTTTGTGTTATCCTGGGTTCAGTACACATATGTTATGTATGATAATTTGTGTGACTGTATTTGTGTATATCTGAATAAATTTACATAGTGTTAGGGGTCCAAGACTGTTCAGCAGCTTTCCAGCATACATAAGGGGGGAATACCAATAGATTCCTGGCTGTCTTCAAGACCTCCCTGACTGTCTTCAAGACCCCCCTGACTGTCTTCAAGACCTCCCTGACTGTCTTCAAGACCTCCCTGACTGTCTTCAAGACCTCCCTGACTGTCTTCAAGACCTCCCTGACTGTCTTCAAGACCTCCCTGACTGTCTTCAAGACCCCCCTGACTGTCTTCAAGACCTCCCTGACTGTCTTCAAGACCCCCCTGACTGTCTTCAAGACCCCCTGACTGTCTTCAAGACCCCCCTGACTGTCTTCAAGACCTCCTGACTGTCTTCAAGACCTCCCTGACTGTCTTCAAGACCCCCTGACTGTCTTCAAGACCTCCCTGACTGTCTTCAAGACCTCCCTGACTGTCTTCAAGACCTCCCTGACTGTCTTCAAGACCCCCCTGACTGTCTTCAAGACCTCCCTGTCTTCAAGACCCCCCCTGGCTGTCTTCAAGACCTCCCTGGCTGTCTTCAAGACCCCCTGACTGTCTTCAAGACCCCCCTGGCTGTCTTCAAGACCTCCCTGGCTGTCTTCAAGACCCCCCTGACTGTCTTCAAGACCCCCATGACTGTCTTCAAGACCCCCATGACTGTCTTCAAGACCCCCCTGGCTGTCTTCAAGACCCCCTGTCTTCAAGACCCCCCTGACTGTCTTCAAGACCCCCTGTCTTCAAGACCCCCCTGACTGTCTTCAAGACCCCCTGACTGTCTTCAAGACCCCCTGTCTTCAAGACCCCCCTGACTGTCTTCAAGACCCCCCTGACTGTCTTCAAGACCCCCCTGTCTTCAAGACCCCCCTGACTGTCTTCAAGACCCCCTTGACTGTCTTCAAGACCTCCCTGCTGTCTTCAAGACCTCCTGACTGTCTTCAAGACCCCCTGCCTGTCTTCAAGACCTCCCTGACTGTCTTCAAGACCCCCTGGCTGTCTTCAAGACCCCCCTGCCTGTCTTCAAGACCTCCCTGACTGTCTTCAAGACCCCCTGCCTGTCTTCAAGACCTCCCTGACTGTCTTCAAGACCTCCCTGACTGTCTTCAAGACCCCCTTGACTGTCTTCAAGACCTCCCTGACTGTCTTCAAGACCCCCCTGCCTGTCTTCAAGACCCCCTCCCTGTCTTCAAGACCCCCTGACTGTCTTCAAGACCCCCTCCCTGACTGTCTTCAAGACCCCCTTGACTGTCTTCAAGACCCCCTGCTGTCTTCAAGACCTCCCTGACTGTCTTCAAGACCTCCCTGACTGTCTTCAAGACCCCCCTGACTGTCTTCAAGACCCCCCTGGCCTGTCTTCAAGACCCCCCTGCCTGTCTTCAAGACCCCCTCCCTGTCTTCAAGACCCCCCTGACTGTCTTCAAGACCCCCCTGGCTGTCTTCAAGACCCCCCTGCCCGTCTTCAAGACCCCCCTGGCTGTCTTCAAGACCCCCCTGCCTGTCTTCAAGACCCCCCTGACTGTCTTCAAGACCCCCCTGACTGTCTTCAAGACCCCCCTGACTGTCTTCAAGACCTCCCTGACTGTCTTCAAGACCCCCCTGACTGTCTTCAAGACCCCCTTGACTGTCTTCAAGACCCCCCTGACTGTCTTCAAGACCCCCTGCCTGTCTTCAAGACCCCCCTGCTTGTCTTCAAGATATCTCTGGACAGGTACCTAAAGTCAGTACCTGACCACCTAGGCTGTGGTTCCTACACTGGATTACATGTGACCATCAGTAACAGCCTGGCTGATCAGTCCCTGATCCACCACGAGGCCAGGTCATGGACCAGGCCTCGGGGAGTTGACCCCCAAACAACCTCAAGACCACCTTACGGGTTTAGCAATTAGTTATGATTATAATAATCCAGGTAAAGTGATATGTAGCTGCACTTTCTAAGCAATTATTATTATTATAAAAAGAAGAGCTAAACCTACAAGGGTCATACAATACTTTCTTAACAAAATATACAATTATTAATGCATTTTCCCCGATCTAACTCATTTTATAAATCACATTACTTAGTAATAATACCAGCAATAGAAATAATTATAATAATAATAATAATAATAATAATAATAATAATAATAATAACAGTAATAATAATAACAGTAATAATAATAACAGTAATAATAATAGCAATAATAATAATAATAATAATAATAATAACAGTAATAATAATAACAGTAATAATAATAGCAATAATAATAATAGTAATAATAATAACAGTAATAATTAATAATGGCAATAATAGTACATAATATATAATAGTTTCGTTCCTCCGATCGAACCTGATTTGCTTTCCATTTCCAAAGTTGCTATGAGATGCATGTGGGTTTAGTGGTTCCCCTTCATTATATTAAAGTAGAAAATTATATTCATGGGGAAGCACTAAACTCATAAGAGTCATATTGTGCCAGAGAAATGGGGCAGCAGTGGAACGGGAAGGGAAGTGGATCCTCTAAATTCTTATGGGTCGTATATTATTATAATCGTAAGTAAGCACTAAACCTACAAGGGTCATTCGACTATGGGTCATGCAGCACCAATTAAAAAACAGGTAAATTATTAATCAAAATGCCAAGACACCATAATTTTCAGTTTTATCACAATGGTCGTCTCCCACCGAGGTTGGGCGACCCAAAAAAGAAACACTTTCACCATCATTCACACTAACACTTTCACCATCATTCACACTATCACTGTCTTGCCAGAGGTGTGCAGATGCAGTAGTTCAGATGTCCCTCCAAACAGCAAATATCCCAACCCTTTAGAGTGTAGGCAGTGTACTTCCCACCTCCAGGGCTCAAGTCTGGCTAACCAGTTTCTCTGAATCCCTTCACAAAATATTACCCTGCTCACACTCCAACAGCTCGTCAAGCCCCAAAAACCATTGTCTCCACTCCTATCTAACACACTCACACATGCCTGCTGTATGTCCAAGCCCCACACACACAAAACCTCTTACCCCCCTCCTTCCAACCTTTCCTAGGATGACCCCTACCCCTCCTTCACTCCACTATAGATTTATACACCCTCCAAATCCTCCTATTTTGCTATATCTTAATTTTTTAAACATGTTAGTCATCTCCCACTAAGGCAGGGTGGCCCAAAAAAGAAAAACTTTCATCATCATTCACTCCATCACTGTCTTGCCAGAGGCATGTTTACACTACAGTTATAAAACTGCAACATTAACATCCCTCCTTCAGAGTGGAGGCACTGTACTTCCCACCTCCAGGACTCAAGTCCTGCCAGACTTGAGTCCTTGCTCACACTCCAACAGCACGTCAAGTGCTGTTGGAGTGTGAACACGATAACATTTATATCTTAACATAGTCATTAATTACACTCAAGACAAGCAAATGTCCTAAATGGTGATGGACAGTTTTTGAGTACCAGTTAGGATCAAATATTGTCAGTAGATTCTTAAATTAATGTTGAACGACTGTGTGAGGATGAACAGTCAAGCAAATTTTAATGGAGACAAGACTGGCAGCAACATGTGATAATGTTACCAGCAGTTTGTTGACTCTGGATTTGTATACTGGATTCATAGGGTAAGTACATGACCTGGAAGTGTCGTACAGCACCTACGCAATGAAAGGTAATCAGGTTTAATCCAAGGATGGAAGTAGTCACTCCAATTTCTTGGATCAAAAGCCTTTCACCAGCCCCAACATAGCCCCTTTATGAAGTCTCATTGTACTATGTGAAATAAAACTTCATAAATGACCGTGACGCTATTGAGTACAGTAGCATCAGGGCTCAGAAGTTGTATATTGTCTAACACTTCTGCATTATCACTTGGCTAGACTACAAAATTTAGGTTTGCCCAGGGCTTGTATAGAGCTAGCAATCCCCCTTTGCTCTATATTCAATCAGTACTTTTTCATTCAATCTCCTTTACAGAAATATGGTAAATTACCTCATCCACTTCCGTTAACGCAGATTTGCTGATCACAACCAAAATGACGTGTGTTCAGATCCTGGGAGTTAATATGTAAATTTCCTGATATTCAATGCTTGCTCACTTAACAGTAAAGAGACTGACTAAAATACCAGGAACAAGGAGCTAGTAATCCCATCTCCCGTATAAATTATTAGGTGGAAAAAGAAAACTTTTTCTTTTTAACCCTTTGACTGTCGCAACCCCCAATCCTGAGGTGTCTCCTGGTGTCGCAAAATTAAAAAAAAAATTATTTTTTCTTATGAAATGATAGAGAATCTTTTCCCGATTGTAATGACACCAAAAAAACGAAATTTGATGGAAAACTGGCGGAATTATGCTCTCGCGAAGTTAGCGACCTCGGCGCTGTTTACAAATCGGCGATTTCGCCCACTTTGAGCCCTATTTTCGGCTAATTCCATTGTTCCAGTCGCCCAAACTCATAGCTATTTCTTTAGAACTCCATTTTTTCTATCGATTGAGTACAAGAAACTGCCCATTTACCGATTTCAACTACCTAATAATGTGGTCAGAAATTTGCAATTTGGCCAATTTCACGAAAACTAAAAAATGTGACAATTTCAAAATAAGGTCCAGAATGAACAATGCAGACATTCCTGGCTCTAAAATAACATTTTCTTTGCTCATCAGTCATGTCTCCAGGCCCCTCTGATATTACTCTTGCTTTCTATTTTGAATTTTTATTCAAACAAAAAATAGAAGACTTACTATTATGCAGACTACTGCAATACTGTAATAATTGTATAAATAACATCAACCCATTCATGACTGCATATTAGAATGGCTAGTCGGACATTTATTGGACAATGGCATCATTTGTTTACTTTTGAACATTGGCAAAAATCAAACATTTCCCCTACTTTGAGCTCCATTTCTAGGTTCTTTTTATAGTAAAATCAATCAAAATCACCTCTATTTCTATAATATGTTTTCCATTCTATCAATTGAGACCAAGAAAACGAGAATACAATCATAAATACTATACGAAAATAGACCACAAATTCGGCATTTTAATTAAAAAAAACGGTCGGAGTTTTTTTTTCTCATTATGCACTGCGTGCTCCAGGATTTTTTTTATATGGTGCACACTGACCACACAGACCCATTCTCTCACATGTGGGCCTACCAGCTTTCTCCTGCTTGATTTGAAGCCGCTAGAATTTATGAGTATATATACGTCAAACACGGTACCTCGTAAGACGTATATATACGGCCGTGACAGTCAAAGGGTTAAGTCGCCCTACCTCAAATTTAAAATTGAGACGGATGGAGTGTTAAAAAAAAAAAAAAGATACATACCCTTGGAATTAATGTATTACAATTGCATTCTTGGGGAGAGGGCCTAATAAAACACAATGAAAACATGTCATACTCCTTTGCTTTCCTGAGATATTAATCTCCTCAGTGCCCGAAATGCCCCGGCATGATGGTGGCTTTCTTTGTACTTAGTAAACCAAAACTGTAACTACACATTGTAACCTTTACAAAGAAATAAATCTTTATTTTTATCTTATCTAATGCAAAGCCATCTTCAGTTTATTACCTTAAAATAAACAAAGCACAAAATATCAAATGGGATTAGTAAGTGATTTCAAATTAAATGCAGTTTTGTCATGTAACGTTTTATTTACCAGTATCTTCAACCAGTCGAAAATTGTTTACTAAGTGTTAACTGTAACAGTGCAGGACAAATCAGTCCTGGTTGTCAAATTCTCAGCAGAACTGATAGGCACTATAGTATTCATTAAACAGGACATTTGTTAATTAAAATTAATGGCTCTCAAAAAGTACTATCATAATTTATGCTATAGGGGCAGTGACTACTAAGATTAATTCAAATGACAAAGAATTTCTAGTGTGGTTAGAGACAAGTATAAGTATATGCTGAAAAATTTCAGAGGTTGAAAATTGTCAAAGCCTTGTTAGTGATATTTCTGATAAGTCAGAGACAAATGATCAGTCTCCAGATCAAGTAAGGGGCCTCTGACTCCCCATTATGAGAGCAAATGTAACCTTTCTTGAAAGTCCATCACTGAAGATTACCTCCCAGATGCACTACTGTAAAGAAATATAACCCAGTACAAGTCACATAAATTGGGATACGATTATGTTCATAAACATTACGGCAAGGGAAGGCTGGAGGCAGTTGAGATGTCGTGTCTGAGGGCGATGTGTGGTGTAACTATTATGCAGAGAATTTGTAGCTTGGAGATTAGAAGGTGTGGGTTTACTTACAGTATTATCCAGACAGCTGAAGAGAGAAGACCAGTAAGGGTCACAGTGTGTTACAGAGCAGGAGGGGGCAGAGGTGGAGGCACTAATATATGAGAAAAGGCTGAAAGAATGGGGTGGAAAAGAAGGGGTGGAGATCACAGTTGATATAGCAGATCGGAACCAGTTACAAAATCATAGAGGGGGTTCTGCATTATGCATGGGACCATCAGGGGGAAAGAGGACAAACTGATTACACCGGAGCTAGTTACAAAATCAAAGGGAGGCCACATTATGCATGGGACCTTGAGAGGAAAGTGGACAAATTAAGTATGCCAGGGCATTAAAGGCGGCATCATGGAACTGAAGAAAGCATCAGTAATAAAGTCAACAGCTCTCTCATGACCGGGACATGAGCCTCCCCCATCTTGATAAGGCTGAAAATGATGTATTTGACCATCATTTAAAGTGTCACTCTTACCTGCTGGTTTTAAAACTATAAATTATCCCTTGTGTTTCATTATAGCCATTCATCATCTTACAATCTTTTTGGCAGATGTAACACTCATCACGACTTATTGTGAATCTGAAGAATATCTCTGTAGAAACTGACGGTCGACTATTTATAACGTTTACACAGATACCAGGTCTTATATATTTAACCCTTAAACTGTCCAAACATAGATCTACGTTCACGTGCGTTGCGCTCCGAACGTAGATCTACGTTTTATTTTACATGCATTCAAATGTAAAAAAAAGTAGATCTACAATCGGAGCGCTACGCGTGTGAGTGTAAATCTATGTTTGGAGCGCTACGCACATGAACATAGATTTACGTTCGGAGCGCTACGCACGTGAATGTAGATCTACGTTCAGAGCGCTACGCACGTGAACATAGATCTACGTTCGGAGCGCTACACACGTGAATGTAGCTCTACGTTTGGAGCACTACGCATATGAACGTAGATCTTCATTTGGACAGTTTAAGGGTTAAAGAATACATTATTTTCAAAACATATTACCTGGTATTTTTAAAATATGAAATAATAGCCTAGGGAACCCTAAATTATTGTAATACTGTATTAATCACCTAAGATACAGTATATTACAAAATAAATTCACATTTAACAGATAATTTTTGACATTAATCAGTATAATTACACAAATATTGAAAACTGAATAACTGAAAGTATTTCCTGTAAAAACTTGTACTGTATAGTGTGAAAAAAAATATTTCCTCATTATTTTAAGAATATCTCATAAGATTATTATATTTGAATATTCAAAATATCTAAAAATGAACATATCCATGTTCCATGGTAATATTTTTTAAGGCCTATATAACAATGCAAAGGTGTTCCAAATGTTCTTTTAGGCCTATATAACAATGCAAAGGTGTTCCAAGGTAATATTCTTTTAGGCCTATATAACAATGCAAAGATGTTCCAAGGTAATATTCTTTTAGGCCTATATAACATAACAATGCAAAGGTGTTCCAGGGTAATATTCTTTTAGGCCTATATAACATAACAATGCAAAGATGTTCCAAGGTAATATTCTTTTAGGCCTATATAACATAACAATGCAAAGGTGTTCCAAGGTAATATTCTTTTAGGCCTATATAACATGACGATGCAAAGATCTCTCGACTGCTAGATTTCCTTCCTTCAATAATATCAATAATAAAACAATAATGTAGACCTATACAATAAAAAAAAAACATTAAATTTCTGAAATGAACTGTATTGTACCAGCAAAAAAACAAAATTTATCATTGGGCAAAATAATTTTATACAGTTGTTGGACAAAATCAATTTGTATTTTGGCAGTGGACAAAATAAATTTGCAGAGAAATCCCAATGTATTAAATTTAAATACCAAAATTGCAACAGAATTTGCTATAGTACAAAGGCGAAGTAAGTACATTGCTAGAACAAGTGGAGTACAAAGGTACACTCATCATCACCTTAACCTGTAAACGGTCCAAACGTATATATACGTTTTTTCAACATTTGAAAATATGTAAAAAAAGTAGATTTTTTTTTTTTTACATTTGAAAATGTGTAAAAAAAACTTTGATCTACTTTTTTTTTTGTTATATTTGAAAATATGTAAAAAAAACGTAGATCTACTTTTTTGTTGTTATATTTGAAAATATGTAAAAAAAACATAGATCAACTTTTGTAGCACTACACGTGTGAACGTGCATCTGCTTGGACCGTTTACGGGTTAACAATGCGCTTCAGAAACTCAAAAGTCTTCACTTAGTGTTTCCACTATTGCTGACAAACAAAAATGTCAAACACAAATTGTTCTTCAACTTTTACATTAGGAAAGATCACTGAATCGTCATGTTTGTACATGTCATGCAAGATATGGCTACTGAATAAATGATGGTGACTGTGTTTCTTCCTTTGGCTCACCCTACCCTAGAAGATGACTGGTGTGATTAATGAAATATTGCGTAGAAATACAGTAGGACCTCCGTATCCGCGAGGGATGTGTTCCAAGGACCTGCCGTGAATACCGAAACTGCGGATAGTCGTGAACTCTATATACAAGACCTATAGATACCTCTTATAAAGTTTGATAAATTATGCACAATAAGTGGAAAATTAACAAACCATACCACGGGTGGGGATAGAACCAGCGATCAGAGAGTCTCAAAACTACAGACTGTCGCATTAGCCACTGGACCAGCTAGCCACAATAAGATTCATCCAACTAGGTATTTGTGGTCACAGTGGTGCCTATGCTAACCTTCCTATGGTGTAGAAATATACCTAGTTGGAAGAATCTTATTGTGGCTACCTGGTCCAGTGGCTAACGCGACGGTCTGGAGTTTTGAGACACTCTGATCACGGGTTCTATCCCCGCCTGTGGTATGGTTTGTTTGCAATCATGTCATTATGATTTCGAGAGAAAATTATCACTTTTTCACTGATGGGATGCACTTTAGGCTTCTCTTAGTCTTTGAAGAACTTCCACCATCACTACTTTTGCACTCTGAGATCATTATAAAGCAAAATTAAGGATTACTTTTGGGCCAGGGTAAACAGTGGATAACTGAAGCCGCAGATAACTGAAGCCGCAGATAACTGAAGCCGCAGATACCTGAAGTCGTGGATATGGATATGGGGGGTCCTACTGTACTCTCATGAAGGAAATTTTGGCAAGCATTTTACTAATTAGTTATTACGGTTTCATTTTAACGATGTCTCTGATGTACGGGTCATTATATCTGCTACTCATGACGTACAGCTAAAAGGCTTACATAACATCTCAACTACAGTAAGAAATACTTTAATACAGTATTAACACACATGAAAATATTATGCAATGTGCTCCCCTATGTAGTGTGGATTTTTCTGAAAATGCAATTGAAAAATGCAATTGAAATGCAATTGAAAAATTGGAATCAAAATGTAATAGCATACACTATAGAAGCCCTTCCACATGCTTTTCAATTATGGATGCATTTTTTCAACTGTATTTACAGAAAATCGAACTATACTGACGAGCTTTATGAGAGAAATTACCGTGCGATGTAACCCTAAAGCTGCAGACCAGTGCGTAAACCACTGGACCAGCTGACTACAATAAGATTCATCCGTCTAGGTATATTTATACATCATAGGGAAGTTAGCACAGTGGTCACAGTGAGGCCCATGCTAACCTCCCTATGGTGCACAGAAATATACAGGAAAGCACTGCCCACAGTAACAGCCTTGTTGATCAGGCCCTGATCCACTGCAGGGGCACTGAAACCCAGAACATCCTCCAGGTAGTCTAGGTATATACAGCACCTTATTTTCGGTGTTCCATGTTGTTGTTGACTTCAAACTGAGCCATTGTTCATTATGTTCCACCCACTGAGATAGTCACTGGAAGATGGAACAATGGCTCAGTTGAAAGACAACGAAAATGTGGAACACTGAAAATAGGTGCTGTATATGTGAGGTGGTGCTGGTGAGGTGGTGATGGTGAGGTGGTGATGGTGAGGTGGTGATGGTGAGGTGGTGATGGTGAGGTGGTGATGGTGAGGTGGTGATGGTGAGGTGGTCCTGGTGAGGCAGTGCTAGTGTACATAGTTCGAACTATCTTATTGTAGCCAGCTGGCCCAATGGCAGCTTACACACTGGTGTACTCTGTAATATTACGATGGATTTCTTTTTTGATATTTTTTGTTTAAAATATTTTTTTGCATGATTAATACTTTTTACGTGATGTTCTACGTATTTTTTTTTTACCATAGTCAAGACGTTTCATCTGTCTTCAGCAGCCGTATTGTTGTTATAATCACGGTTCCGAGCCACGATAAGGTTTGATCCAAGCGGAGAGTGGCTTCAATTCCAAGGATCGAGAGCCTTGCAATTACTGCACTTACAATGCCTCATAAAGAATATTATTATCATTGCAATCAAAACTAGGCACTAAACCCACAAGGGTCATTCTCATAAAGAATAAAAAGGCACAATACCAGGACTGGAACAATACACAAATAAGCTATACATAGGGGACCAAGATTTATGACATTTCAGTTCAAGTAGGACCGAAATGTTGTTGTAAGCTTTGGTCTGCTATGTACGGGTTATCTGTGTACAACGCCTCATTTTCTAACACCATCGACCATCATCAATGCCACATTTTTCACACATCAAATATATATCAGCCTAATTTACACAAATAAATAGCATTGTAAGAAAAAATTTCATTTTTCTTTTTAGGTCACTCTGCCTCAGTGGGATACGGCCAGTTCATTGAAAAAAAAAATATAGCATTCTTCATCATGAATGAAATATTCTGAAACAAAAACATTAACAACCTCTGTTCATTCAGATTACTCTATTTCTGATCAAAATACAATCATATATGGAACACATTTCAATGTTCTCTTTTTTTGCCTTTTTGGATGATATTAATTGGTCTAGAACTTCCTGTATTCTTTATAATGTTAGTGACAATAACATGAACTAATATTTTTTTAATTGGAGAGAAGGAAGGCAGACATTCTGTGGTCATAGCGCTGGAACACCCTGTATAGATTATCCCATTCATCCTGGTTTTAACAGGACAGTCCCACTTTCTGGAATTTTATCAGATGTAACAAAAAAAGGCACAATACCGTGACTGGAACGATACACAAATAACCCGCACATAAAAGAGAGAAGCTTACGACGACGTTTCGGTCCGACTTGGACCATTTACAAAGTCAGACCGAGTTGGTCCAAGTCAGACCGAAACATCGTAATAAGGTTCTCTCTTTTATGTGCGGGTTATTTATTTATCAGAAGTCCCTGTTTTAGGGATTTTACCAAAACAGTCCCTGTTTTAGGGATTTTTCCAAAACAGTTCCCCTTTTAGGGCCTTTCCAGAAACCCGTTTCACTGTCCCACTAAATTCAGCATGTAAAAATTTGTTATCTGAGATATCTCAGTGTTGCTTCACGAAACCAGGAAATCCTTTGCGTATCTATCGAACCACAGCCTCCCAACTAAATTTTACAAAATATCCCGGTTTTGGGCCCAAAGAAAACGGGGAAAAAATAGGGATTCCTAACCACATGTCATCTCTGGTCACGTACCCACTGGTGACACCTCTGAGGTGGTAATACTCAGTACCAAACACACTTAAAGTCTAAAGTAGAGCCTCACAAGTCAACTTTAATGCCAAATGTCAATAGATCTTTGAAAGCATAGCCTCTATAGTGTGCAAAGTTAAGAGATAGATAAGTTTATTAAGTGGCAGAGAGAACGATTCTATTGGTCATATTATGATTCTATTTATCATATTATGATTATATTTATCATAATACGATCCTATTTATCATAATATGATCCCATTTATCGTAATACGATCCCATTTATAAAAATTTGATCATAAGATCCCATTTATCATAATTCAATCCTATCATAAGATCCCATTTATCATAATACGATCCTATCATATGATCCTATTTATCATAATACGATCCCATTTATCATAATACAATCCTAATTATCATAATACAACCCTATTTATAATACGACCCTATTTATCATAATACGACCCTATTTATCATAATACGACTATTTATCATAATACGACCCTATTTATCATAATACGACCATATATATCATAATACGACCCTATTCATCATAATACGATCCTATTTATAATACGACCCTATTTATCATAATACGACCATATTTATCATAATACGATCCTATTTATCATAATACGATCCTATTTATCATAATACGATCCTATTTATCATAATACGATCCTATTTATCATAATACGATCCTATTTATCATAATTAAACACTCTTCAATCTGCACTTACAGTATTTCCAAAAATAAACACCTTTTTTGTTACTCTAAATTAAAATAGTGAAGAAAAAACAATTAATAAATCTTGTACAAAACTCTTATTAATTTTTTTTGTGGCTGAAAATTATGTTTATTAGTATTTGCAGATATTTATCTTCCCTAATTTATTAATATAAATTGTACCTGAGAAGGTGATTACAGGGATTAAGGGATTTAGGGAGGATGCTGTCCCCTGCAGGAATGCACCCTGATGCTGGTTTAAGGGCTCTTGGTCCAAGGAAGTGGATGCCGTCATTTCCCCCTTCCTTCGATCAAATTTGACTGCCTCCCATTTCCCAGGCGCTCTGTGACCCTTGCGGGTTTAGCACTTTCCCACAAATATATGCTGGTTTAAGGGCTCTTGATAAAAGGAAGCGGATCCCGTTGTTCCCCCTCCTTCAATCAAATCTGACTGCCTCCCTTGCGGGTTTAGCACTTTCCCCATGAATATAATATTATTATTATAATCAGAACCAAGCACTAGACCCACAAGAGCCATACAGCGAATATAATAATAATAGCAATAAATAAGGGAGGATTTTTGATAAATTCCGGTAGTTTTTAGCATGGCAGTAGCTGGCATTTTAAATAACAATGGCGCCTCCTGTCTTAACATCATATACACGGTAAGTCCTCAAGTTACGAATACATTGGGACCTCCTGTATTGTGTATAATAATGATAAACACAGTACTGAATGTTCTCCACTGATGGTAAGTTAAGAACTTACTGTATATGCTCAATAATAACCCATGTGGAGGCAGAAATTAAGGAGAGTGAGTGATCTGTATATTCTGACCCCATTTTGGGGTCCTCTTCAGCAGAAGAGGAATTGTTTTTTTAGGTTTATTTAGGCACAGGTACACACAAGTACAATTACCATACATGTGCATTATGCAAAAATCACAAATGAGATACAAGATGCTAGCATTCAACCCCCCCCCCCCCCAAATGGTTGTTTTGCATATATGTGTATACAGTGGAACCTCAAATATCGAACTTTCTTCGGTCCAGAAGGCTGTTCGAGTGCCACCACCGAACGAATTTATTCCCATCAGGAATAATGTAAATTAGATTAGACCATTTAAGACCCTCAAAAATACACTTATAAAAGCACTTACAAAAATACACTTACATAATTGGTTGAGTTGGGAGCAGTTCGATTTTTGAGATTCCACTGTATTACCCAGGATAACCCCAAAAAAGAGTCGTACAAAGCGACTTATTTCCACTGGGGTGGAAATAGAGCGATCAATCAACCTCCTGTATTTGTGTCTTCATGTGAGTTATTACCGACCATTGACAAGCGTTCAATATGTATCATTTATTCGTCACATACTTATATTTTACACAATCATAAAAAACTCAAGTACAATAAAGATTTTTTCCAAGAAATAACAAAAGACTTTGCCAATTCCATAATTTAAAACACTCAATATAATATTTTTTAAGCTCACAGCCAAAGTACATTATCTATCAACAGAAGAAAATTGTTATTTTTGCATGATTAACAAATATATACAAACATATAACCACTTTGAATTATGCTTTCTTTCACGACCCACCCCACTCCAAAAAAAAAAATATAATTAACCTAAACTTTACAATATGGTAACCTTGGTAACCAATGTATCCAATTTTTCATGCATGAATACTCATTCAACATTACAAAGCAACATTCAATGTTTTGCAAGGTGGATGTACATATGTAATCACAGATCTGCATATCACCTACAGTTGTAAACTTGTATTATGAGATACAATATAAATACAATGCACAAACAATGCTGTGTAATGTAGTGGCTGCTTGTACTTAAAATATCTGGAGGATGTTTGTGGAGAATGATGGTCATTAAGACTCAGAATGAGGGTCCAATAATGCTCACAATGAGTCATTAAGGCTCAAAATGAGGGGTCATTAAGGCTGCATGTTACCTACCTTTTCACTACCTATCAAGAATACTTTAATTACTAATTAAGATAAATTCTCAGCACATACACCAAGAGATGTGCACTTAATGATGTACATACAGATCACGTGTTTAAGCAAAGAATAAAAGCACAGTAAATAACAAAAAGGCACAATACCGTGACTGGAACGATACACAAATAACCCGCACATAAAAGACAGAAGCTTACGACGACGTTTCGGTCCGACTTGGACCATTGACAAAGTCACACTCAAGTGTGACTTTGTCAATGGTCCAAGTCGGACCGAAACGTCGTCGTAAGCTTCTGTCTTTTATGTGCGGGTTATTTGTGTAAAAGCACAGTACATATGTAATGAATCAGAGGTGAGTGTACTGTTGGCCAGTCAGCCTTGCTTCAAAGTCAACTGATAAGTCATCAATTTCAACCAATAGCAAGCTCACCTCTGGCTACCGCTACATTTATGCTGTGGTGTTGCTAACGTGCCCTTTTACTTACCCTTTTATTCATAAAGAAAAAAAAAAGACACAATACTGTGACTGGAACACAAATAACACACACATAAGAGAGACTCACGAGGACATTTCAGTCTGGCTTGGACCATTAACTAGTGACCAATTAATGGTCGAAGTCAGACCAAATCATCATCATTAGTTTCTCCTATGTGTAGGCATTTGTGTTCCCTTTATTCATTTTCTGATCTTAATTCTTCCAAATATTTTAAGAAAATCCAGCCATTACATCACAGCCAACTGACCTCTGTATATAGTTTACTTACTTTTAACTTATGTTCAAAATAAGTTTGGTTCTGACGTACTTTAACATGAATGTATATACGTATATGATAAAGACCAGGATACATAGTAGACCATTGGTTTACCTATACATGACAAATGTGTCATGTGTCTTGACTGATTGTACTGCGCATTATCTGGCATCGCAACACCTGGGTCGTTGATGCTGGGGTTGATGTCTCCCGCATCACAACACCTGGGTTGTTGATGCTGGGGTTGGTGTCTCCTGCACTGCAACACCTGGGTTGTTGATGCTGGGACTGGTGTCTCCCACATCACAACACCTGGGTCACTGATGCCGAGGTCGACGTCTCTCGCATCACGACACCTGGGTCACTGATGCCGAGGTTGACGTCTCCCGCATCACAACTTCTCGTTGTCACTTAAGTACTCACTAATGTTGTAACATAACACTTCAGTACAGTATTAACACTACTGATAGCTTTTTATTTTTGACTTGAGAGGCGACTTGAAGTTCACGTAGGTAAATGGTTTACAGAACCCACAAGTTGATAAATCAGACACACATGCAACACTTGGGTATCTTTATTGAGGAAACAGTTCGCCATACAGTAGCTTCCTCAGTCCTAAACAAAGAAGAATGGCAAAGATCAGAAGGAGTTTGAGGTAATCAATCCCCCAGCCTAGAGTCGATGTAATCAATCCATCGATCTTGAAAAGATTACATTGACTCCAGGCTGAGGGGACCGATTACCTCAAACTCTGATCTTCACCATTCTTCTTTGTATAGGACTGAGGAACCAGTGAGTAGTAAACCATTTCCACAATAAAGATACCCAGGTGTTCCACACGTCTAATTTATCAACCTGAAGTTTGCCCGGTGATCGTTCCTACTCAGGTATCAAACACGTGCTGGTTGTTTCCAGAATTAACAAAGATGATGCCATGACTGAAACAACTGACAGGCAACACACAAATTGATGACAAAACTAAGCAATGTTTCAGGTTACCCTGAATCACTGTCGAGCAGTGAGCAACTGATAATGGTCCAGGATGAACTGAAATGCTTAATTTTTCAAACTAGCCATTGAAACAGAACTTTTGGGCATGAAATTCTCTCAGAAAGTTTACATTTCCGGCATCTACATTAACCCTTTGACTGTTTCGGTCATATATATACGTCTTACGAGCCAATGTGTTTGACGTACATACATATACTCAAAAATTCTAGCGGCTTCAAATCAAGCAGGAGAAAGCTGGTACGCCCACATGTGAGACAATGGGTCTGTGTGGTCAGTGTGCACTATATAAAAAAAAAAAATCCTGCAGCACACAGTGCATAATGAGAAAAAAAAAAAAACTACCGTGTTTTTGGATCAAAATGCTGACTTTGAGGTGTATTTTCATATAGTTTTTATGGTTATATCCTCATTTTCGTAGTCACATTTGATAGAATGGAAAACATATTATAGAAATAGAGGTGATTTTGATTGGTTTTACTATGAAAAGAACCGGGAAATGGAGCTCAAAGTAGGGAAAATGTTTGATTTTTGCCAATGTTCATAAGTAAACAAATGATGTCATTGCCCAATAAATGTCCAACTAGCCATTCTAATATGCAGTCATGAATGGTTTGACATTATTTATACAATATTACAGTATTGCAGTAGTCTGCATAATAGCAAATCTTCTATTTTTTTGTTTGAATAAAAATTCAAAACAGAAAGCAAGAGTAATATCAGAGGGGTCTGGAGACATGACTGATGAACAAAGAAAATGTTATTTTAGAGCCAGGAATGTCTGCATTGTTCATTCTGGACCTTATTTTGAAATTGTCATATTTTTTTAATTTGCATGAAAATGGCCAAATTGCCAATTTCTGACCACTTTATTGGGTAGTTGAAATCAGTAAATGGGCAATTTCTTGCACTCAATCAATAGAAAAAATGGAGTTCTAAAGAAATAGCTATGAATTTGGTCAACTGGGACAATGGAATTAGTCGAAAATAGGGCTCAAAGTGGGTGAAATTGCCGATTCGTAAATATTGCCGAGGTTGCTAACTTTGCGAGAGCATAATTCCCTAGTTTTCCATCAAATTTTGTACTTTTGGTGTCATTACCATTGGGAAAAGATTCTCTATCATTTCATGAGAAAAATAATTTTTTTTTTTTTCAAATATTTTGCAACACCAGGGGACACCTCAGGATTTGGGGTTGTGACAGTCAAAGGGTTAAGGCAAATTATCACATTGATAATTAACAATAATACCAAATAGATGATTAAGACATGTACAGCACCTGGGTATCTTTAATTCAGTAGTATCTCTGGTCCAGTGTTTCTATTCCAGTGTCCTCTATTCCAGTGTCTCTATTCCAGTATCTCTATTCCAGTATCTCTATTCCAGTATCTCTATTCCAGTATCTCTATTCCAGTGTCTATTCCAGTATCTCTATTCCAGTATCTCTATTCCAGTGTCTCTATTCCAGTGTCTCTATTCCAGTATCTCTATTCCAGCATCTCTATTCCAGCATCTCTATTCCAGCATCTCTATTCCAGCATCTCTATTCCAGCATCTCTATTCCAGCATCTCTATTCCAGCATCTCTATTCCAGCATCTCTATTCCAGCATCTCTATTCCAGCATCTCTATTCCAGCATCTCTATTCCAGCATCTCTATTCCAGCATCTCTATTCCAGTACCTCTATTCCAGTATCTCTATTCCAGTATCTCTATTCCAGCATCTCTATCCCAGCATCTCTATTCCAGCATCTCTATTCCAGTACCTCTATTCCAGTATCTCTATTCCAGTATCTCTATTCCAGTATCTCTATTCCAGCATCTCTATTCCAGTACCTCTATTCCAGTATCTCTATTCCAGTATCTCTATTCCAGTATCTCTATTCCAGTGTCTATTCCAGTATCTCTATTCCAGTATCTCTATTCCAGTGTCTATTCCAGTGCCTCTATTCCAGTACCTCTATTCCAGTATCTTTATTCCACTCTCTTTATCTGGGCAAAATAAAATAAATCTTTTAAATAATAGTTACAATTACTGGGAAGGGCTAAAAACCTTTGGGGTCATTAAGTGTGTAACTACACTATGCATCTTCGGCAAAACTGAAGGTTTTAAAATTAAAACAGCAAAAAATAAAACAAAGGTTTACATATTCGCCCTTTAAGTTACGTTTCAGTGTTAAATCTCTGGAAATAGAATCTGGCATGAGCAAAATGTTTGCTAATCAGCTGGATAATTATTTTTTGATACTAATCAAAAGGCACTGCCAATCAGCAGGCTTTACACGTCAATCAGCAGATATTACCAATCAATCAGCAGACCTTACCAATCAATCACTAGGCCCTGCCCATCAATCACCAGGCCTTAACCACCAATCACCAGATCTTACAAGTCAGCCTCCATCATACTCAACAAATAGTCCAACTTATTAATTAATATACTGTTAAAGATAAGGAATCTAGTTATCTATGTACATTATCAGCATCATTCTAACTGCTGCCTGAGTGACTAAAGACAATCCAATCAAGTTTAATAATTTAAAAGTGGATCAGATATATTCTAGGTATATACAAGCATAACATGGGCCCCCCCAATTAACTGGTAGTTAGGTTAAGTAACGAGTGAGGGTATTTGCAAACCACAACATCAGAGTCGGAGAAGTTACCTGTAATTTAATACCGCTTCCTTTAATAGCCTAAATGTAATTTAGCCTGCTACTGAATTTTCTTAACTAAGTCCAATAAGATTCACCCAACAGGACTTGCAGGTTACCGTATTTTCCAGCACGTATGGGGCACGAGCATGTAAGACAGTGTTTCCAAGCAGTTGTAACATAATGTTAGTAAACAACTGCTAAAGCGTAACCCAAAGCCTACCCTTAACCCTGACCTTTAGTATATAAAGCCCAGGGTGATTTTCCAAGACTTTTTGTGAGGGAAAAAAGTGCATCTTATATGCCAGAAAATACAGTAAGTATTTTTTAGTGGTGTGAAATTGCTGATACATTTCACTGGGATACATTTTTAAAATCCCTTACTCATATGATTACAAATGAGAATCTACTAAAAATATGACTGAAATAAATTTATTAATTGCCACATGAAAATACAAGCATACTCCTCGACTCCACAGCTCCGCAGCGACTAGCATGTGGGGGCCCTTGCTACTGTACAGAGAAAAATCTACATTTGTGTGCTGATATCAGAACCATTAGAGACACAAAAAACTGAACCATTCTGTTCTTGTTCAACTAATATCATCGGACACCGAGTGCAGCACTTACGTCGTATTTAGGAACAAATATTCCATCTCATCAAAACACAAGAGTTTGATCACCATCATGTGACTTGAACTCTTCCAGTCACTGTTTGGTGCAGTGGGCTGAGCTGCCATTCACATCTCACCTCTCAAGCAGTCTCAATACTTTTTCCATTATTTTGATTTATTTTCTGTCCTCTCATGAATATAATTTGTTAACATTTTCCACCTTTTTTTATAAATTATCAAAATAATGTTTAATTTGTTTTCCCATTTCATAAATTATAAAAATAATTCAGTTAATAAAAAAGCAGGTTAAATCTGACACTTCTCACAACATTTTCACTCCTCAAAATAAATACGGCTATAAAACTCCTTGGGTTTTAATATCCTATGACACCTGAAGAAGTCTTGTGAAAGAGGAGTGAGTCGATGAAAGGGAGGAAGAGGAGGAATGGAGAGATTCCCCTCCGTGTACACACTGCCTCAGGTTTCCAAAGTCTGGACAAGACTCAAATGATGAGGCAGAGGCTGGTTGGTGAGCATCTAGGGCACCACAAGAATAACGGTTGAAACATTTCTCCCGTGATGCCTGTGGACGCGACCCTCGAAGACGCACCAGCTGCAAGTCTGGCACTAAGGCCGAGACGGTTTCATTACCCTCGCAGCTTCCGTTGGGCCTTTGAAGACCGGGACACGACCGTGCACGGTAAAGACCCTCTTCTCCTGGAAACGGAGGCTCGCTGCGAGCTCGACTTGTTATAAGAGTTCCAGGTACTGGTTGGGGATACTTGTTTGTATGCGAGGGGATCGTTTTAACGTTTCTCATAGACTTGACATCAGCAGGCTCATCATTGTCCAGCGTAGTAACAATTATGTGTGTGGTGTGAACGTCCGGGCTTTTCCCACTGCTGCTGCTCCTTCCACTAGCACTGCTGTTACCACTGCTGCTGTTGCTGCTTGGACTGCTGATGCTGCTCAGACTGTCAGAGCCAGAATCACTCCTGCCCAGGAGCCGTATACGGGAGGACATTGCAGCTGTTCGCCTGCGAAGTTCTCCCATCTCTGAGTCCAGCAGCTGTTCCACACCTCGAAGAAGCTCCTGAGCCATCCGAACACCTGTAATTAAAAAACATTATTTTATGCATTATTATTATTATCACTGTTATTATTATTATTATCATGGTTGTTATTATTATTATTATGGTCTAAACTGGACCGAAACATCGCATAAATTTCTTTGTGTGTAAATTATTTGTGTATTACTTTTGAAGTTAACATAGTAAAAGAAATAGACAAAAAAGGGGACTCAAAAGTACCATAAAATCTGATTATATACAATAAAAATCCATATTGGTCTCTTCGTACATGTAACTCTTACAAGTAAATATACAAAAATAACTTAGAATATAGTAACGTTACAAAGTGCAGAGTCTAATTAACCCACAAACGTCTTTGCAATAATTTTACGATTGGGAATTATTTATTAACCCTAAAGTGCTAGCACCTTAATATTGATCCAGGATAGACTGAAACACCGTCAAGTTTATATTACTTAATTGTATTTTTTGTAATTTATTGCAGCCAAAGTATAATGACATTCTCTATATAGAGTATATGAAGGATGAACTGCATTTTCTTCGCTACTTTCTTAATAATTCCAGGTTTACAGCTCAAATTATTGACTATTTTTAACCCGTGAATGGTCCAAAGGTATGCACTGTATATACGTTCTTACGTGTAGTGCCCCGAATGTATATAGTACATGTATATGTTTTATTTTTCCTGCCTTCAAATTTGGCACGATTGGCCTGAGATGCCTTGTCAGCATAGAATGGGTCCTAACACTGTGTGCGCGGTGTTAAAAAAATCTGGGACCACTTAGTACCTTGTGGGAGCGCCAGTTAAATTGAGCGCCAGCTAGAGCAAACAGTGCGGTAAACACCTAGGATTCACTGATGTAATGTCATATTAACACTCCTCTTTTAAGAGGAAACTGATGTTAACCCCAAGTTTAGGGTCTGTCTATCTCTACCTCTGTCTATCTCTCTCTCTATCTCTCTTCCTCTGTCTCTGTCTATCTGTCTCTATCTGCCTTTGTCTATCTGTCTCTGTATCTCTCTCAATCTGTTTCTCTTTCTGTCTGTCTATCTCTGTCTCACAGGTACACATAAATACAAGTTTACATAGTATAAATTACCTAGGATAACCCAAAAATCCAGACAAAGTGCTATACTCTGCTTGAAGATGTGAGTAAATGTGATGACGCAGTCTTGTGGTTCTCTCTGAGACAGAGAGCTAGACGGATAGACAGAGAGCTTGACAGACAGACAAATAGACAGATTATTATTATTATAATCAAAAAGAAGCGCTAAGCCGCAAGGGCTAACAAATAGACAGAGAGACATGTTTGTGTACCAGTGAAAACAAAGTGAGGGTGATGCTCATCAAATATCACCTCTAATTTTTTCTTATCAGCTGCACCCTCCCCCACCCTCGTGCATGCTCATCAAACATCAGCTCTTATCAGATGTTATCTCATCTTATCATGTCACTGTCAGCGGTGGACTTTGTTTTTCATGCTTCAAGGCAACTTATTATTACCTATTATTATTATTATGTATTATTATTATTCTCCTCCATCTCCTCCTCCTCCTCCTCCATCTCCTCCTCCTCTTCCTCCATCTCCTCCCCCCTCTTCCTCCTTCTCCTCCTCCTCTTTGTCTTTCTTATCCTCCTCCTCCTCCTCATTATTATTATATACTTCCACATATCCAAAACATTGCTGTGACATATAAATACTTTGTATATATTCCTGGACAATAGTAAATGACCAAGGCAGGTGTAAATATCCACCTGTCAGTATGTTTGTGACAAGTTTACAATTTCAGTACCTAATACTAGTGTCAGAACAAAGTTTGCTTATAAAATGACAAGAACTACTACAAATTGTAATTATCAGAACATAAAAATTACATAAAATAATATGAAAAATAGAAAAAAAGGTATATTGGCAACACTTCTGCAAGTGGCAGGACTCTGTGTTGCTGTCACATGAGCATCCAGTGCCAACTTCTCAGCCTCATATCTCGTAAGTACTAACCCTAATTTTTTTTTATTCTAAATCATGTCAAAAAATGTGTTCTTTTTTTCTATACAATTTTTTTTTTTTTTTCAAAATATATTTGGGGAGCTGCACGAGTGAACGTATATATACGTTTGGACCATTTAAGGGTAATGGCCTAAAAGGTAAAGAGGGTTGTATAAATTGTTATACCTGGTTACTTCTAGCAAGGAAGTTGTTAAATGAATGATGGTGAAGGTGTTTCCTCCTTTGGTTCATCCTATCTTGATGGGAAATTAAAAATACTATAAGCTAAATAGTGTTAGAGGCATGAAGTTCCCCCATCTTCTAATAACATGTTTATTTTTCCATTATAATCTACGTTGTCCATAATTACTGTTACATTTGTTTTGTTTCATAAGGTGAAGTCCAGGATATTTCCTTAATTCATGGTATAACTTGACAAATCTTTGAGAACGATACACAAATAACCCGCACATAAAAGAGAGAAGCTTACGACGACGTTTCGGTCCAACTTGGACCATTTACAAAGTCACACCGAACCATCAGACCGAAACGTCGTCGTAAGCTTCTCTCTTTTATGTGCGGGTTATTTGTGTATCGTTCCAGTCACGGTATTGTGCCTTTTTTTGTTATCTTTGAGGACGATTGTGTTGCAGAGGTCTGAGCTTGCTCCTTGAAGGTTAAGTTTTACCATGAATTAAGGAAAGATCCTGGACTTCACCTTGTGAAACAGACAAAGCAAATGCAATAGTAATTATGCACAAGGTTCATTATAGTGGAAAATATGAACATGTTATTAAAAGACAGGGAACTTATGTGCTCCTTAAAGCCACCTCAAATTATACCTTATTAAAGCTATGTTGGTCATATAGACCGAGGATGCACAAACTTTTCACTCTTCAAATGTTCACAATTAAATAACAGGCAATGTAGTGAGTGGAAGCAGCAAAGAAAGTGGGCAGAGAGAATTAAAACCTCCAAAATTTCTATCAGCCACAAAAGCCCCCTTCCTCCGCCCATCTGAACTGAGAGTAATAATAACAGTGCCTCTCCATGGGGGAAGTGGAAAAGAATCTGTCCTCCATAAGCCATGCATGTCGTAAGAGGCGACTAAAATGCCAGGAGCAAGGAACCAGTAACCCCTTCTCCTGTATAAATTACTAAATACAAAAAGGATGATATGTTGTGTATCTTTATACGTATATGCTTCTAAACTGTTATGTTCTGAGCACCTCTGCAAAAACAGTGATAATGTGTGAGTGTGGTGAAAGTGTTGAATGATGATGAAAGTATTTTCTTTCTGGGGATTTTCTTTCTTTTTTTGGGTCACCCTGCCTCGGTGGGAGACGGCCGACTTGTTAAAAAAAAAAAAAAAAAGAGGAGGAGGGGTGTTAATGTTACAGTTTTATAACTGTAGTGTAAGCGCACCTCTGGCAAGACAGTGATGGAGTGAATGATGATGAAAGTTTTTCTTTTTCAGGCCACCCTGCCTTGGTGGGAGACAGCCGATGCATTGAAAAATGAATGAATGATGAATGTTGCAGCGAGGAGAAGGCTGGAGGCAGTGCAGATGTCATGTCTGAGGGCAATGTGTGGTGTGAATATAATGCAGAGAATTCGTAGTTTGGAAGTTAGGAGGAGGTGCGGGATTACCAAAACTGTTGTCCAGAGGACTGAGGAAGGGTTGTTGAGGTGGTTCGGACATGTAGAGAGAATGGAGCGAAACAGAATGACTTCAAGAGTGTATCAGTCTGTAGTGGAAGGAAGGTGGGGTAGGGGTCGGCCTAGGAAAGGTTGGAGGGAGGGGGTAAAGGAGGTTTTGTGTGCGAGGGGCTTGAACTTCCAGCAGGCATGCGTGAGCATGTTTGATAGGAGTGAATGGAGACAAATGGTTTTTAATACTTGACGTACTGTTGGAGTGTGAGCAAAGTAACATTTATGAAGGGATTCAGGGAAACCGGCAGGCCGGAGTTGAGTCCTGGAGATGGGAAGTACAGTGCCTTCACTCTGAAGGAGGGGTGTTAATGTTGCAGTTTAAAAACTGCAGTGTAAAGCACCCTTCTGGCAAGACAGTGATGGAGTGAATGATGGTGAAAGTTTTTCTTTTTCGGGCCACCCTGCCTTGGTGGGAATCGGCCAGTGTGATAATAAAAAATAAATATAAAAATAATAAAAATAACACAGTTTCAGGGCAAACCTCTAAAATATCTACGTTGTCACCATTAAGCCCTTCCTACACAACTTGTGGAGCCACCCGTGTATGCAGTGTACAGTTTATAAACTGAGTCAAGTCAACAGAAGGTATTCAGCTTCACAAGTCAAGAGGTACAGCTTCTCCTCGCTTAACCCTTTGAGGGTCGACAGGCCCTCTCCGAAACTCGTTCTCAGGGTCGGCCAAATTTAAAAAAAAAAAAAATAATTTTCTCTTATGAAAAGATAGACAATCTTTTCCCGATCATAAGGACACCAAAAGTTTGAAATTTGATGGAAAACTTACAGAATTATGCTCTCGCGAAGTTAGCGGTCTCGGGGATGTTTACGCATCAGCGATTTTGCCCACTTTGAGCCCCATTTTCGGCCAATTCCACTGTACTGGTTGACAAAAAACATGAATATTTCGCTAAAACTCCATTTTTTCTATCGAATGGGTGCAAGAAACCACCCATTTATGAAATTCAACTATCCAGTACAGTGGTCAGAATTTAGCAATTTTGCCAATTTCATACAAATTTCAAAAGATGCCAATTTCCGAATAGGGTCCAGAATAAACAAGAAAGACATTCCTGGCACTAAAATGACATTTCCTCTGGTCATTAGTCACGTCTCAAGGCCCCTCTTATATTCTTTTGCTTTCCACTTTGAATTTTTATTCTCACAAAAAATATAAGATTTACTGTTATGCAGACTACTGCATTAGTGTAAAAAATGGTATAAATATTATTGGTGCACTTGTGAAAGAATATTAGACTCACCAGTTGACGTGTATTGCACGCTTGGCACGATTTGTTTACTTTTGAAGTTTGGTAAAAAT